CAGACAGACACACACACACAGACACACACACAGACACACACACAGACACACACACAGACAGACACACACACAGACACACAGACAGACACACACACACACACACAGACAGACACACACACAGACACACACACACACAGAGACACACACACACACACACACACACAGACACACACACAAGACACACACACACAGACACACAGACAGACAGACAGAGGGTAAGACACAGACAGTGACAGAAAACCGGGACCTCCGGTAGGGTCTGTGTTCCCACAAGTGGCGACTTGTGGCTGCGTGTGAGTGAGGGGGAGAGGGTGAGAGGGAGAGGGGAGGGGGGGTGAGAGGGAGAGAGAGGGGGTGAGGAGAGAGGGGAGAGGGGGTGAGGGAGAGGGGAGAGGGTGAGAGAGAGGGGGAGGAGGGGTGAGGAGGAGAGGAGGGAGAGAGGGGTGAGGGAGAGGGAGAGGGAGAGGGGAGGGTGAGGAGTGGGGAGGAGAGGGAGAGGAGAGAGGAGGGGAGAGGGAGTGTCGGGGTCCGGGATGCGGCGCTGGGAGGTGGCGGCGCTGCTGGACTGGGCTTACGGGGGGGTGGACCCCCGGTTCCCCGGTAACGGCGGCCCGGAGTGCGCCGCCTTCCTGCCGCCCGGACAGCGCGGGGCCGAGACGGCGGCAGTGCTCGGTGTGTGTCTCCTCCCGACCGCCGCCGCCCTCCGGAGGCTCCGCCGCCGACCGCTGCCCCTCCCCCTCCCCCGCCCCGGGGGGCAGGGCCTGGGCCCCGGTACCGGCTCCGGTCCCGAGCGGCTGCTGATCGCCGCCCTCTGCCTCACCTTCGGGATCGAAGTGGGTTTCAAGTTCGCGACCAGAACCGTCATCTTCCTCCTGAACCCGTGTCATGTGGTCACCGCCATCCAGGCCAGTGGGGGTCTGTCTGGGTCTGGGTCTGGGGGGGTCTGGGGGGGTCTGTCTGGGTCTGGGGGGGGGTCTGTCTGGGTCTGGGTCTGGGTCGGGGGGGGGTCTGTCTGGGTCTGGGGGGTCTGTCTGGGTCTGGGTCTGGGGGGGGGGTCTGTCTGGTCTGGGTCTGGGGGGGTCTGTCTGGGTCTGGGGGGGGGTCTGTCTGGGTCTGGGGGGGTCTGTCTGGGGGTGGGGGGGGGTCTGTCTGGGTGTGGGTGGGTCTGTGTCTATGTCTGTCTGTGGGTCTGTGTCTGTCTGTGTCTGTGTGTGTATCTGTCAGTGTGTGTCTGTCAATGTGCGCGTGTGGTGTGTACGTGTGTGTACACGTGTGGTGTGTGTGTGCGCGTGTGGTGTGTGCATGTGGTGGGGTAGATGTGTGTGTGTGTGCGTGTGGTGTGTGCGTGTGTGTACATGTGTGGCGTGTGCGTGTGGTGTGCGTGTGGTGTGCGTGTGGTGTGGTGTGCGTGTGGCGTGCGTGTGGTGTGCGTGTGCGTGCGGGCGTGCACACACAGTGTCGCCTCTCCGTACCCGGGTGTCGAACACAGTCCCAAAGTGTATGTAATTCGAAAGTTACAGAAAGTGGGGGTTTGAAGCCGAGTACCGTCTCCGGCGTTCGATCCGCGAACGATGGGGGAATCTGTTTGAATGAGTTAAAAGCCGACGGTTTGGCTCCAGCCCTGTGGGGCCCATCTGTGGGGACAGCCGCGGGTGTGGGAATAACGGTTTATTTCACGGTACCACTCCCTTTGCGTTTGATAAAGCGCCGTCTTTTGTACTCACACCGGGACCTCCTCTACTGTAGAGTGGAGTGACTTTCTCTTTGTGGGCGAAACCCACAAACTCGCGCGCAGCAACGTCCCACAAACAGCCATGGAGTGAGCGAGCAACTTTACTTAGGGGATTGTTGGCCAGGACACAGGGGGGGGGGGGGGGAGACAGACAGATAGACAGAGAGACAGAGAGAGAGAGAGAACCCCCCCCCCCACCCTCATTTTTGAGTAGCGGAAGCTTTAACGTCCACCTCATCAGGCGCGGACGGGAGCTGGGGCTAACGTCTCATCCGAAGGACGGCACCTCTCCGACCACCCAACACTCCCCGGAGCGTCAGCTAAGGCTGTCTGATCCCAAGTCCCGATGTGGGGGGGTGGGGGGGAGACGACACGACTCGATCCCACAGCCTTCCGACTCGGAGGCGAGAGCGTGACACACAACAACAATGACACGCAAGAGGCCCGACCCCTGCCCTCAGCCCGAAAGCGAGGGTTCGGAATAGCCAGCGAAGCCTCCCATAAGCAACCCACACTGGAACGAGCCGTCTCCCCGGCGTCTCATTTACAGGCTCGTCTGAATTCCCCTCCACCAGAGAGGCTGCCTGGATTGCCTTCCAGTAAAAAAGTCATGAGCGTGTAACAAGAGCTCGCAGCGCCCTGACATATCCACTTCCCTTTTTCTCAGCGTTCCCACTTGAGCAGGCGGACGGAGAGCCTCGGGTTAAAGGTCTCACCCACCCGAAGGACGGGGCACCTCTGATAATGCAACACTTAGCCCTGGAACTTCAGCCAGGACCAGTGCGTGTGATCTCAGAGGCCCCTTTGACCCACAACCTTTCTGTCTCGGAGGTGAGAGTCCTACCCCCTGAGCCAGGCTCTGGCCTTGACAGCGAGTGGCAAACTTGACAGCTGAGGAGATCCTGTCCACTGACCTTCACACGCGGGTGCTTTTCTGGGTGGAGGAAATAGCGGGTGTGGGGGGTGGGGGAGGGGGTGTCGCTGACTATGATCCTAACTCAAACCCCGCGAGAGAATTGAGGTCATTTTCGCTACCCCTCTCGCTGTCCGCCTCCTCTTCGGCAATGCCCGATCCACTTGGTAGTTGCTCTTGCCTCTGGGTCAGAAGGTTCTGGGTTCAGACCCACCCACCCCCCACCCCTCCCAAATCCTACAACCCTCTCCCGGTGTCCTGGCCGACAATGCCCCTGGATTTACTGTGTCCCCGCTCAGGCCTTGTTTTTTTGTTGGTGGGATCGCGCTGCTTATTTTTGTCCCTAACACACACGGTCACTCGCACAGCAATTTCCCGCGAGGAGCTTTGAGATGGTTTGTCGTTTATAGGAGCGACGTGAATTGAAGTTCTGATTGTAACGCTGCACCATATCGCACACATCAACCAGAGCTGACTGACAACTGGTGTCACTGAGCTTCAGGGTTTCCTGCCTCTGTTTCAAGGCGTCTTCCTGTTATAGTCAATTTGTAGAGCAGATCCTGAGTGATAGAGGGAGTGTGTGCGTGTGCATGTGCGTGTTTGTGTGTGCTCAGTGTGTGACTGACCTATGATCTGAGTGTATTTAAGGTGTGTTGGCAGATTGCTCAATGCTGGTAAGTGCTTAGGGTTACCGTCATGAACGTGTGAAAACCACAGTCTCACTTTCCACTGCCCTTTCAGAGAAGTGGCCTTTAACCTCTTCCACCACCTGAGCCAAGGTATCCGCCTGGCGGCGCAGTTGGTAGAACTCTGGCCTTTGAGTCAGAAGGTTGTGGGTTCAAGCTCCTTGTTGGGTCTTTGAAACCCTTTAGGCTGACGCTCCAATACAATGTTGGAGGAAGTTGTCGTCATTCAGATTTGAGGTTAAACGAAGTTCCTGTTTGACTGTGCGCTGTTCAGGTGAACACTAAAGATGTCCCACATCACTACTGGAAAAGAGAAGGGAATTTCTCTCTCCCAGGTGTCCTGGCCGACAATTCCCCCAAATAAAATGGGTCACTCAAACGCTCCCGAGATGCCACCTGGCGTGAATGCCGCTATATAAATGCAAGGCTTTGTTGTAGTTGTTGTTGTTGTTCACGGTGGGTAGAGCGACTATCAGTAAAGTATGAAACAATGCTGAAACATCACTGAACATCACAGTTTGGACTCAGCACTTACGCTGTCGGGCGTTCTGCCCCAGATTTCCCAGCACATCACAGGAGGGTTGTCTGGCTTCTCGCTCTGGCTCACTGGGAGGCAATGGCTGCCAAGAACAAAGAAGGAAACTAACATCACCCACCCCATGGTGTCGGTCTTTGCTCGGCCTCAAATGATTACATTTTCGGGGACTAGAATGCGCCAGGTGTCAACCGTGTGCAAACACGGGAGCATTTTACTAATCCTCGCGTTGCATTAGAGAGCCTTTCACGTCGGGGAGGACGTCTCAAAGCGTGGGACAGGATTTTATTGTACACTGCAGTAAAGTGTCTTTCTCTGCCCTCCCCCAGCTTGGGCTCCCGAGGGGAGAGGGAGGGGGTCAGAGTTTATTGCTCGCAATCGTTGGCCTCGGCTCTGGTGCTTTGCGGTGACGACATCTGTCAGTGACAGCAGTGACTGGCAAAGCTCATGTGTTTACCTCCTCCTGCTCTTGTAGCCATCACAGAAGTCATTTGTGCTCCAGCTGCCCTGGGCTTTCTTTGCTGTCCCCCCAGTTTGTATTTTTATTCATAATAAAGAGGCAGCTTAACAATCGCCACTGTTCAGAGGGAGCCTCGTTCATCTTCAGATGAGATGTTAAATCGAGGTCCCATCTGCCTGTTCAGGTGGACGTTAAAGATCCCGCAGCGCTATTGGAAAAGAGAAGAGAGTTTCCCTCTCTCTCTCCTGGTGTCCGGGCCAACAATCTCTCAAATAAATTTGGTCACTCAATCCACGGCTGCTTGTGGGACGCTGCTGTGTGCAAATCGGCTGCCGTGTTTGGCCCACAAAAATACACAGTCACTCCACTTTGCAGTGTACCCTGTGAAGCGCTTTGAGACGTCTCATCATTGTGAGAAGGCAACAACAAAGGCACATTCGGGGGGTGGGTGGGGTGAGTGGGGGGAGAAATGTTCTGTTGCTCTGTTCATTGAGCGCGGGGAGCGTGTCAGTGTTCGTCTACAATGGGTGATCCCTTTACAAGCCGCGCTAAAAGATCTGTGACGTGGAGAGAGAAAGAGAGAGAGGGAGCAGAATAGTCCCCGTTGTTGAGGCAGGGCAGAGACAGATTTGCTCCGCAGCTGGCTTGTGATAGTAGCTGACACTGGGTGACAAATTGGCTGCCGTGTTTCGCCCCAAAAATATACAGTCACTCCACTTTACAGCATATCCTGTGAAGCGCTTTGGGAAGTGACGCGGTGCTGTATCGAATGCAAGCAATATTATTATTATTATTGTTAGAAATCCTAGTGCTTTGGAGTGTTGCGTCAGGAAGTTCTGTTCGTGCGATTCCCAAAACGTTCACAATGGTTTGTTTTTTTAAATAAAAAGTAAAAATATGTATATTTTTAATTGCAGATCTTTCTCCTTGTCTGGCCTCCCGGCAGAGTTGCTCTGATCGTCTTCAGGTAAGGAACGGAACAAGGTTTCTCTTTATTTATTCCCTTACGGTGTCATCGGTCTGGCTCAGTCTGTAGCCCACTTGCCTCGGGGTCAGAAGGGTTAAACCCCCCTCCCACCTCCCCCACATTTTACATTATCCTCGTCCTTCGGATAAGAAGTTAAACCGAGGTTCTGTCTGTGCTGTGGTCAGGTGGATGTTAAAGATCCCGTGACACTGTTCGAGAAGAGAAGGGAGTTTTCCTCTCTCCCTCACAAAGTGTGTTAGCCGACAATTCCCCAGAGAGTGGGGGAAAAAAATTAGTCGATGATTTCACAGCTGTATGTGGGACATCGCTGAGAACAAGTTAGCTGCTGTATTTTCCCATAAGATACCCATCTGCCGCACTTTACAGGCGGGAGGTTGTGTGGAATACGATAAACAATGTCAACACTGACCCCCCCTCCCCACCCACCACCATCACCACCTTGATCTCCTGTTTCACCGATCTCTGGTGATCAGTCTTCCGTATTGGAACGACAAGTTAGAACACACGGAATTCCACAATCCCGCCCGGAATTTGTAAGTTAGTGCAGACACATAAACTCGGTACGTGTAGCTCGTTGGATGATTCACAGAAATTCCGATCGGGTTGTCCAACATAACGAGGCAGGGCACAGCTTGTAATTCCTCCCGCGCCAGTTCGCGTGGACGTTAAGGATCCCGCGAAGCTGTCGGAAAAGAGAGAGTTCTCTCCACCTGAAATGGGCTTCAGGTTTAACGTCTCACCCCGAAGGACAGCAAGTCCCAACAGTGCTTCCCCCCCACAGCTCCCCCAGCACAGCCCTGGAAGGTTCACCTGGCCCAACGAGTTCAAATCCCGATGATAATAATTACAATAGTAATAATCCCTGCATTCGACACAGCACCTTGTCACGTCGTTGAGATGTCTCAAAGTGCTTCATAGAATATTCTGTAAAATGGAGTGATTGTGTATTTTGTGGTTGAAACGCGGCAGCCAACAATAAACAATATTACTGCTTGTAATAAACCTCGCATTTGAGCAGGAGACACTGGGACAGTGTACATTAAATCTGATTGATGCTCCCACCTCACCCCCCCCCCACCTCACCCCCCCCCCCCCACCTCACCCCCCCCCCCACCCATCCTGGATGGCTCTGCCCTTGTGATGGATTACCTTGTGGTTGTCAGTAACTTCCTCTCTTGTTGTCAGGCTGCAGATGCACATGCTGAATGGAGCTTTGCTGGCACTACTGTTCCCTGTAGTTAACACCAGGCTGGTGAGTACAGCACATCAGGTCAATGTCTCCTGCGTCTCCACATCGATGTGATGTTGTTGTTGTTGTTGTTTGCCTGGCTCCCAGCTTTACCATCGCTCTGCGGCTCCACTGAAACCTTCCGATCTTCTTCCGTTTGAAATTCTGTCCCTCGAAGAAATTTCGAAACACCGGATCAATGACGATACTATTGATAATAATAATCCTTGCATTTAATACAGCACCTTATCACATCGTTGAGGCGTCGCGAAGCGTTTCACAGGACATCGTGTGAAATGGATTGACTGTGTATTTTTGTGGGCAGAACGTAGCAGCGTCGCCACAAACAGTCGTGGATTGAGTGACCACATTTTTGAAACGTATTTATCATTGCTAATGCTAATTTGTATCTAAATAGCACCTTATGTGGTATAAACATCTCAAAGCGCTTTTCAAAATATTATTGTTTAGCCATAAAAGTGGAAGCTATAATAATAATAATAATAATCCTATAAGGTGCAAATGGTTACACAGGAATACACAGCAGCTAAGCTCCTTCCACCGTGTCTCGTAAACGATAATGATCCTTGCCTGTGATACAGCGTCTTTCTGGTCAGGATGATGTCTTGTTGAGCAGTGAGTGTCAGGGGTAGATCTGGATGACAAATGGAATCTAAACCAGGATAACTGGGAGAAAGACCGACGTTTATATGTAGGCCAGAAGTCTGACCTTTCTCACATCCCGCCAACTCACATCCACAGCCGCTGCTGTAACATGCGTCTCAGCAGTCCGTACGCACATTATATTGGTGGAGACGTGACGGTGTGTCTGGGGAGTTGTTGGCCGAGATGCCTTGAAGAAACTCCCTTCCCTTAGTGATCAGTGCATGGAATGTCGTGAGAGTTTTACCCTCCATTTATCTGCAGGACCTCAATTTAACCCCCCCATCCAAACGGCAACTTCGACAATACACTACACCCTCTCCACCCCCCCCCCACCCCACCCCACCCACTCTGAGCGGAAAACTCTGGATGTTTGTGTTTCGAACCCAGTAGTGTGGGTGAGTCAATAACCGAGCAATGATGGTACAGGAAAAATTCTGCTTTTACTATCTGCTGTGTATAAGATAACGGACCCGCTGTGGCTTTAAGAGACCACAAATGTTTTTCTGTTACTAAGAACTATTCTTATCTGGGGGATTGTCAGCCAGATACTCACTTCTCTTACTCGAATACCGCCCTGTAATCTTTAATGCCCACCCAAATAGGCACAGACAGGCCTCAGCTTAACATCTTATCTGAAGGAGGCATCTCCGACAACACGTTGAAGTGTCAGCTGTGGTTAAGGTTTAGTGTTAAGACTGAACGTAGAATTTTACCAAAATTGGGCCCGATTAAATCCCAAGACAATGGTCTTAAGACCGTGGCTAAGAACTGAGGCTAAGACTGTGAGATATTGTGAGGCTTTGGAGGTGAAATGGAGAATGTTGGCAAGAATAAACTAGGTTAATACGGGATGTACATCGCCATGAGTCTCGGCGCTACGTTACCGCTCTCCAACGGTGGAAATCTGCTGCTAGTTAGAGACCTATTATATGCGCCAAAGACTTTGACCCCACATCGCTGAGCAGAGAGCAGATGTCATCGGGATTTGAGAGCAGAGAGCGCTGCTCTGAGCCCAGCCTTGGCTGGTGATTAAAAAATCAAAAGCTGTAACTGAGTTTCAGATCACACAGAGCGGATTAGGGTTTGTGTTCTTCGCATCAGTGAGATCGGACTCCAAAGCTTTCACCATGATTATTTTTCTGTGAGGCCACAGGGGATTAACGAGATTGAGGGAGGGAATGTGAATGGCAACCTTACGCAAGTAGGTTTTCTCATTCATCTCAGCTTCAAAAATGCAGCAATAAGGCCCCCACCCCCCCACCCCGGCTGTGATCCGCATTCACCCTATCAAAACGTCTCCAATAACGTTAAACACATCTATCAGTCTTTGCTGCAAGGTGTTTGCCTATTGATAAGGTTGCTCATAGTCCCTTTGCCTCACTCCTCCTTTGCCTCCTTCCAAGACCCTCCTCTTCGACTGTGCCTTTGGTCACCCTCCTACCCCCCCACCCTCCCTGATCCCAAACCCCGAACTCGCGGCCAAATCCCTGACTGTCCAGCGCCTTGAGACGACCTCCTGCTGTGAAAGGCCATGTGTAAGTGTAAGTGTCATTTGTTGCTGATGAGGTAGGTCTGTTCACAGTGCTGTCATTGACCCCCACGCCATGCACAATCCGATCCAGCCCTGAACCTTCATAGCAAAGGCCAGCAGTGAGAGAGACTGACTGCACAGCACAGCCCTGATCATATGAATTGACTGGGTATTTTGTAGGTGAAACGTGGCAGCCAACTGCGCAAAGCAGCGTCCCACAAACACGACAGTAAATGTGGTTAAGTGCTGCAAAACAGATCTGTTGCTGAGCGGGAAGTATCACCTCCCCCCCCTTTTAGCCCTTGATTCGCAGTTGACTAAATTCCTTCTGGAGTTATTATTGACGCCTGAGAGTTAGATGAACTAATTTCCTTTTATAGTTCTGCCAGTTCTGTATTTTCACTGTGATTTTTGGGTTGGCTTTGGTGTACGTCCTGCTGTTTTTTGTGGTGTAGAGCTACAGCGAATTAAATTGTGCCATTGTGCATCTGTCGTCGTTAAACTACCCGGAACAAGGATAAGGGAAGGTCTTTCAGTTGCACTGTGAAAGGGAAGCTCAAAGGGGAAGTAAGATTGCACTTCCAGAGATAGAGGAACAAGATGAGGAGGGGGAGAATGGGAGAGCAGGTCAAACCTACCCCCCCTCTGGTCAGAGAAATGGTTCCCGTGTGTATGTGGCGCACGGATTAGAACCTGTCAACAATAGAACAATAAAGTATTGTTTCGCGTCAGGAAGGCGTCGCAAAGTGCTTCAGAGGAATTACCGTAGGACGGCGGTGACTGTATTTTATAGGCAAACACGGCAGCCAACCAATTTACACACAGCAGCGCTCCTGCAAACAGCAGTGATACGGAAGGCAATAACGACGTGCATTTACATAGCGCCCGTCACGTGGAGTAGCCTCTCGAGGCAGTTCAGACCAGCGTTATCTGAGGGATTTGATTGTCGGACAGGACGCGGAGAAGAGCTCCTCCATTTAGAGTAGAGTCGGGCAGAGCAGAGAGAGCAGAGCCTGTGTTTGGGAATGTCGGGACTCCTGCTCAGCCCGTTCAACAACAATAACAACAACGTGCGTTTATATAGCTCTGTGTTCACAACAGACGCTGGACTGAATCCTCCTCATCCTTCTTCTCCTGCAATGTCTGAGCACCAGGAAGCAAGTCGCTGGGAGCTTTCACTGTTGCCATAGGATGACCACAAGGTTTTTGTTTCCCATTCAGCCATCTGTTTACAGCCCTCGTGAGAGGCATTGATTAAACCCCCGGGGGGAGGGGAGGGGGAACTCTGCATGTCGGAGGTGCCGTCCCTTTCAGAAAGAGAATGTAAGCCGACATCTGCTGGGACACACAGCGTGTCGAACATTCCCGTTGGAAATAGAGACGGGATTTTCTCCCGGAGTGTTGGCCAGCAATCCTCTGTGGATTAATCGATCGATCACGTGGTGGCTGTTTCAGGGCCTGTACTGTGCACAAAATGACTGCTGCGTCCCATCCCTTTATAAAACAGTCACCAACACTTGCCGTTAGTACTCTGTGACACGCTTTGAGACATTTCAGGGCTACATCCAACGCAGAAACTCGTGGAGTATAAATACCGGCGCGGACTGGTTGGACTGAATGGCCAGTCTCGCTGCTGTACAGGATATGAATGTGTTCGGTTACTGATCAGGAGTCAGATTGTTGGGACATCTCTCAAAGGCGAGAAATTACTGTTTTAAAGTTGCATCATCGCGAGCTCTAGTGGCAAAGGCTCCAGGAATTGAATCTTGAGAGTCATTTCCAGCAGCGGTTTGTTGCAAGACCTGGGTCACCTCCTGGGCTGAAGCCTCTGCCTGTGACAGATGGAGTGTGAGCTGATAGCACTTTTTGATGGGCAGAGATTAGCTCAGGCACAGCCCCCTGTGAGGTGGTGGGGGGTGAAGAGATAGGCCTTGGCTTTGCCCTCTGAACCCCGTGTTGGAAGGGCAGCCAGACATTGAGGTGATCAACAGCAGAGAGGGAGAGAGGGCAGAACAAATGAATCATAGTGAATCCTGTTAACACACACGGTGCTCGCACACTCTCACAGCAACATTGCTTCCACTGATGAAAGGATATCATTCATTGTTCTGTGCCGGAGCAGCTGGGACTCTATTTTTTCCATTATACAAGCCGTCTGCAGTGTAAACAGAACAAGTGTGCGGAGGATAAACACTATAACCATGAGACAAACTGGGGCTCTTCAGTCCTGAGAGAAATCATCTTAGCGTGTGAAATTTTAAACGGGATTAAATAAAGGTAAACCTAGAACAATAGTAATAATAATAATCCTTGCAATTTGATATAGCACCTTATCACGTCTTTGAGACCTCTCAAAGCCCCTTCACAGAATACACTGTAAAGTGAATTTTTTAATAAATACTTTAGGTCGCACCAAGATGGGAGAAGAAGATCTAGGGTTAGAGTTTCAAAGGGCAATTGCATGACCGACACCAGCAAGAGTTTTTTTTTTCTTTACGCAGAGGAAAGGTGGTTGACAAAGGGTGGTTTGGTGTCCATTTGTAGGCCTCTGTGGTTTAATGTGTGCGCTTGTGAGAAGCGGTTGGTTTTAATGTCTCTTTCTCTCTTCCTGTTCCCAGCTCCCCTTCGAGTTGGAGGTGTATTATATCCAGCACATCATGTTGTACATCGTACCAATCTACCTGCTTTGGAAAGGAGGTAAGCAACAGCAACACAAGAGATATTCTGGGCAATATTCCAACGTTGCGAAGGGCAAAGTGCTTTGTTGGCCACATGTAATTGATGAAACCTATTACTTTGATAGATGCAGCTTTAATTAAGGGGTAATTTCCACCCTTGGCATTGAGCCATGCTGGACGACTGGCCCTGGGCACAGGGGAGGGGGTGGTATTGGGATGGGAGAAAGCAAATTGAATCTTCTAGAAACATAGGAATTAGGAGCAGGAGTAGGCCATTCGGCCCCTCGAGCCTGCCCCATCATTCAATAAGATCATGGCTGATCTTCTCACCTAACTCCATCTGCCCGCCTTATCCCCATATCCCTTAATCCCTCTATCCTTCAGAAAAAGGATTCTCGTGCCTGTCTCATGTTCTGGTCTGTTCGGGTTGATTGAGCGACAGGGTCAAGGCCAGAGAATGGTGGGGTCTGCGACCCAATGGATCCACTCAGCCTCTCTGGGGGTTTATCTGCCTGAGACTTGGCCTGAGATGTAGTCCTTCTGTTGACATTGGTCTCAGTGTTGCTCTCACCGGCCTTTCCCACTTGACTGGTGCAGTAGCGCCACCCGGTGGCCACTTGCGAGCACTGCTGCCGTTGCAGGTCTGCGGTGGTGCGCACATCCACAAATGCTGAGCTGTTTGTCCTCACGTTCCCTCTATCTCTGTGTGGGACACAATCTCACTTGTATCGAGGCCTTTCACCTGCAACACATATTCCTGTAAGGAAAGGCAGTTGTTTGCATTTGCAATTTGAAGTCTTTTTCTTTTAAAGCGTGCGGTGGGGGGGGGGGGTGGGGTTAGGTTTGGGGGTCTGGGGCTGGGGGAGTGAAAGCTGACCTAAAGCACGACCAAAGAGCACGGCCTTGAGAAGGAATTTGGACTTGGGCGAAGGAAGGAAGGAGCGAAATTCCACCAGATTCCCCTATAAATATAGCTGTCTTAAAACGCTTCACAGTTAACTGCTATCAAAAGTAAGGGGTTAGTGAAAGTGACGCACTGTCAAAGAGCCGGCACAGACTCGATGGGCCGAATGGCCTCCTTCTGTGCCGTAACACTCTATGAATCAATGAAAAAAAAAAGTAATGACTGTGTATTTTGTGTCAGCGCGCAGAATTGTCCCGCAAACAGCCACGAAGCGAAGAACCAATTTGATCTGGGGATTGTTGGCCAGGACACCGAGAGAAAGTTCTCTGCATTACCTTGAAACTGTCCTGGGGAAGATGTGGGTCCCAAGCCCCATGCAGGGACTTTGACCTGGAACTCAGCCTGGAGCGCGAGTTCACAGTCCCGACGCGGGGACTTGGACTCACATCTTTCTGACACTGGGACAAGAGTGTTACCAACTGAGCCAGAACTTCAGGTTTAAACCCCACTCCGCTGTTCTTTCTAAAAAAAAAACAATTGAATGGCATTTCGAAAGAAAGGAGGAGAGAGAGAGAGTGAGAGCGAAAAAGAAATAAATTTTACAGCACAGAGAAAGGCCATTGCATTGAATGAAAAATTATAAAATAAGAGTGAAAGATCTTTCCTTTTTGATCATTTATTTTTATCTCTTGCCTGGTTTAAATCAGGTTATAAATAGATCGCTCCCAAGGGCTCCTCCTTTCTCTCCGGTCCACAATGAGTCACTGACTCGGGAGAAGACACAGTGACAATCAAAACAAAACCAGCCATTCATTCTCCTTAAGGAGAGGAGGCTCTGACCTAGTTGTAGGACATTGAACAGCCAGAACACATTGGATATGAATTCATGATCGGCCTCATTGTGTTATACTAAACAAGCTATGCTTTCCATTTGTCAGGGTGCCAGTTTGGCTCAGTTTTCCCTCTGTTGCCTGGGGCCGGTGGGGGGGTGAAGGTGGTGGTGGATCTTGCCTTGGGTCAGAGCTCCTCGCCATGGCACAGTTTCAAGTTAATGCAGGGAGTATTCCACTGTCGCCAACATTTCGGCAACTCCCCCCCCCACTCCTGTTAATAAGACTACAAATAATAATAATCCTTGCATTTGATACAGTGCCTCATCATGTCTTCGAGACGTCTCAAAGCGCTTCACAGAATATACTGTAAAGTGAATTGACTATACATTTTTGGGGAAAACACGGCAGTCAGTTGTGCCCAGCAGCGTCCCACAAACAGTCGTGCGTATGCAGTCACTACACGGCAAAGTCCTGCCAAGAGTTTTCAGAGGGCTCGATGACGTGATAAGGTCCTGTATCAAACGTAAACTGTTGTCCATTTTATTAATATAAATAACACAGCACACACACAAACAAATCCAAATCTCACTCTACAGTCCAAAGTCAGGGGATTACTTTAACAGCATAATGTACTTCTAGGTCCCGAAAAGGATTTTTTTCTTTTTTTTAGGATTTTGTTTCCCCCCAAGCTAGGGTTTCTTAATTAAGAAATGCCGCAAAATTGACCCAGTTTTTTTTTTAAAAGAGAGTGATCCGTTTTGCAAAGCACTGAGTGCTGGGAGTGCGAGTGCTGATTAATCCCCTTCGTATGAAGGAAGACATTGTGCCGGGAAAAGCTCCTTTATCTTCATTCGAGCAGAGCCCTGTGGGCAATCGAGGGCGAGGCGATGTGGGTTTGAACTCCCAAGGGGTTGGCGTCTCTTCTGGGTCGTGTTATGTAGCCCGTGGCGTGATGTAGTGGGGAGCATGAGCCAGGCAAAATATTTCGTGCCAGTGCGTTTGTTCCTCTGCTGTCTCTCACTGCAATCTGGGCTGTGTGTCCTCCCGAGGAGGATGGCCCATGGATTAACTCCATTTGGGGGGAAAAAAAACTCATAAGGCCTGAATTCCACAAGCTCCCAGGACCATCACTCGTTAAGGATAAAAAACTAAATCCCCCTGTTGTCTGGTGTAAAGAGCAGTAAATCACAGGATTGATGCGCTATGTATGTGGTGGCTGTGGTGGGAGGAGATGGTGCAAAGGATTAACAGATTGGAAGCTCGTGAAGGTTTTGCTATAACATGTTGACGCTTAACACATCAGGCGTTAATGAGGATCAGTATGGCGCAGTTTGATAGCCCACTCACCTCTGGGTCAAATATGTGTAAACATGAGGCGGTTTAGAATAGCGAACGGCAATTTCAGGATAGACACCAAGACGTTATTTACTCTTCTCTATCTAGGGTCTAATTAATGGCTGGAATGGGTTACCAGGAAAGGTGGTTGAGGCCAGGACACTGGACTCATTTAAAACACACAGCCTGACGCTGTGATGGGAGAACAGGAGGGTGGGCATTCTGGAAAGCTGAGATCAGTTGGGACGAAGGTCCTTCTTCATCCGAACCAAACTTGTAATCTTAGGTGGTCTTGAGTGTGAGTGTGTGAGTGAATAGAGCCGTAGAAATTTACAGCACAGAAGAAGACCATTCGGCCCACCGTGTCTGTGCTGGCGTTTTTAAAGAGTAATCCTCCCTGTTCCATTTACCTGCCTTTACTCCATATCCCTGTAGCTTACTCCCTTTTAGATATCCATCTAGTCCCATTTGGAAAGCTAATGTATGCGCTTGTGTGTGAACGTGAGGGCATTTGTGTGCGAATGAACATGAGTTGAACGGGTATGTACCCGTGAGAGTCAGTACGTACAGAGTCAGATGGGGTTGAGGTGATGGACTAGAAGACAAGTGGCACCCAGTCCTCGCCAGACTCTGCACTGCACAGTTTGGGAAGCCGCCAATTTCTCAGCAGAGCCTGACCTTCAGGAGACTATTCACCGAGTCTCCGTCTCTGTGGAACTTGAATATAAGCACCTGTGAGCGATTGTTTAGGGAACACGCCAGATTGCTGATTTATACAGCTTCCCAGTCATTACGGCAGCGATATTTTACAGTGCATAATGCATTGGGAACAAATGCTGCCCTGATGAGTTAGTGCGTAGGTGAAATCTTTACAGCTGCCACTCCTACAACTGAGAGTCTGTGTGTGTGTGCAGTTTGGAGCACTCTTGCCTGAGTCAGAAGGTTGTGGGATCAAGCGCCATGTTAGGACTTGGAACTCGTCAGGTCTAAGCTGACATTCCAGTGCAAGGGGTGGGGTGGGGCTGCATTGTTGGATGTGCTTTGAGATGGAAAGAGTTACATCAAATGCAAATATTTATTAACATGAAGTCCGGGGATGGGGAGGATGTTTGCCCATGTGGCCAGTCATTAATTGGACCATTGCCAGGCATAGCCATTCAGACCGCCATAATAATGATCACCTATAATTAACACGTTGACCCCTCTTTAAAGGGACACTGTTTAAATAATTTTTTTTAAATACATTTTTGAAAATACTCTCCTCCCCTGAAGGTGATAACTCACACTCCGCTCCCTACACGTTACCCTGGTATTTGGGCTAAGGACCAGTCTTCACATGTGCGAGTGAGGCTGTGGAGGAATACGCATTCCTTTGATCAACACGATTGAGGCTGGAATTGAAGCCGGAGACTTTCTTTATCTGTGTGTGTGGCTCAGTTCCACATCAGATAGCGACTCATCATAACTGCACTGAGCGTATATTACTTGAATTGGTTGTTAGCCAAAGGCAATTTACCAATTGTGCCAAAACCTCAATACAGTTGGAAGGTGCCAGTGGTCATCAATGATCAGAATTGTAATAAATGATTGACTTTCTCTTTTAATAAGTTACCTTACACACTGCTTTCTCTCTGGCTCTCCAGGTGTGTATAAACCTGAGCCGTTGGGTGACCTTTGGTGGGCTGTTCTCTCCACCGGCCTCCTCTTCCTGTATCATTTTAGCTTTCTACAGATCCTGGCTCTGGTGAGTACAGCAAAACGGTCTCCCCAGCACACCAGCAAAATATCTAAATTGGAAGGGTGGGAGAGAGAAAATAATGGCTCGTCACATCCTCTGATGCAGTACCAGATGCACAGCAACATCGCAGGGTACATTGCACATGTCAGTGAGTGATTAGGCATAATCATAATTTGGTTGCCACCCAAATATTCTTTCAACGCTGTCTTTCTTACCCTCTTCCCCCCACCACCGATTCCCATTCTTCTGCAGGAGTTGACCTTCCTCTTGCGGGGTTTTATTGAGGGAGTGGGGAAGGAAAGACGCTGTAGTTTTAAGTTTGCAATTAAGGGAATTAAGACCAGAATTGAAAAAAGAAAAAAAAATCTGAACTGGCGGTAGGAAAAGGATGGGGGTTGGGGTTGGGACTGAACACAAACCACAGCTCCGTTGGAAGAATTCCTTCCACCATTCTATCCTCCTAGGCTGGTTCCTCTAACCTTCCCCAAAACATCTCATCACCGTCTCTCTCTCTGTGTGGTTTATTTTTAAGATGACGGAAGTCAATCTGAACAACATGCTGTGCCCTGCCGTGTCAGACCCCTTCTATGGCCGCTGGTATAGGATTTGGGCATCGGGGCATCAGGCCCTGATGACGATGACCCACGGGAAGCTAGTCACCCTCTTGTTCTATGCGGTGGCTCCTGCCTACAGGTACCTGGTGGACATGGTCAAGCTTCCAATCAAGAAAATACTGTGAAATGATTATCACTGGACTTACCTGGTGAGAATTGTGTGTGTACATGAGGGGAGGTATAGACAACTTCTTTTAAATTGGCCATTATGTTATTGCTGGCAAAATAGTGGCCTTAAGGGATCTTTATCTAATATCATCGTGTACGTAATTGAAAAAAGTGTTCTTTACAATTAATTTTTTAGTTTTTAAGAGGATCTGGAAAAAAAGTTAAAGCATAGAAACAAGTTAGTCAATTCCTCTTCTCCAGCCCTCAATCTCCGTGGTGTATATACACACCTTGCAAAGTATTCATTAAAGACAAAATCAAATATTAATTATATACCGTCTCCTCCCCCACCACCAAACACACAAAGTATGGGGGGGGGGGGGGGGGGGGGAATGGGGGAGAGAAGAGAGAGTGCATCACATTAGTGTTTGATTTTGATGTTTGATATATTGTTACTCCACACACTCCATGAAGTAGGAATTGATCCAGTTGGTTCAATTTAAAAATTTCAGTGTCATCCTGACCCCAAACAGGTAGTTAATTCCCCACTAGCACGTTAAAATGATGAAACCTAATGGAGGGTTGAGAGAGGACTGAAAGGCACGGCTGGAGTATAAGAAGCCAATTTGCCTATTTAGCGATGGACACATGTTCCCAGTACTCAAGGTTGCCCCGCTCGGGGCACCACCAAGACTTTTGGTAGAGATGTGTTGTGTGTGCGCGTATATATATATATATGTGCTGTTGTCTCACCCTAACCCTGGGTTTGTTGGATGGATGACTAATATGGCTGCGTACAGTAAATAAGTCAACATTTTAGTGCTTGCAAAACAAAGTCCACACATGTGCAGCTACAGAGAAAGCTTTCCAATGTCAAGTTGTAGTTTTTTTTTTAAAAAAATTGTTGGATTCAGCTTCCCGCCCCTTCAAGAACTGCTGCGTGATGAAAACAAAGCTACTGTAGGAAACCAGTTTTATATCATGCACTTTTTCTATTTGCTTTTTTGTTTACATGTTTATAGAAAAAAGATGTCCTAATAAAAAAAGTACAAAACACTGATTCAGTCGTCAATTGCATCAAGGTAGCGTGATGAAAACACAGACTTATGTTGAGTTAATAAGAATACTTGGATTTAATATGGCGCCTTATCAAGTGGTTGATGTCTCAAAGCACTTTGTAGAATATACTGTAAAGTGAATTTTGTGGGCTAAACACGGCAACCTGTTTGCACACAGCAATGTCAATGACTTGCATTAGTGGCGGAGCATGACTCCAAGCCAGGGGGTGGGAGGTGACCTTATGCATGGTTGAAGAGCAAGGTCTTCAGGTGCGATCTGAAGATAGGGAAGGGACAAGACAAAGGGATAGAGGAGGTTTTTCAGAGTGTCCCACAAACAGCATCACTGAATCACGATTAAGATTTGCGTTGATCAGGTGGGCCAACACAAGATCTGCAGCATCGGTTGTGAATTGCTCATCTGTGAATAATCATCACTTGGGGCAAAAGGTGCCAGATCACATTGTTGCACGACACAAACACAAAGTACCAGCTTCAGATGAGAAAACCAGTGAGGGGCACAGAGGCACATCTTTATTGCCCTGGGGGACGCCAGGAAGCGGATGGAACAGATTCTGGCTGTTACTGGAGTGAGAGTCACCATATTACCTGAAGGAATAAACACTGTGTGAGTCAATCAGCCTTGAACAAATGCACGCAAATATCTGATGGTCCACGAGATCTTCCCCATTTAATAAAAGGAGTCTGGAGTTTGTTTTTAACACTTATGTGCTTTTATTAACATTTTTTTTTAAAATTGATGAGAAAACATTTGTATGCAAGGAGCAGGGAAAATGCCCCCAGAGTTCACTAAATATCCCTGTAGATTTTCTCCCCCCCCCACCCCACCACATAATTTCATAAGAGTTTACTGCAGTCAGTCACCTGCAGATCCTGGGAATAAACTGGTGTTCAGTTTGCAGATAAGACTGCCTCACAGAGCAGCACTGCAGTGGAAGTCCATTCAGATGCACAAGAAACTTTGGTAGCAGTTCATACGTTGTAGTGGTATTGCTCCCAGTGCATGTGAAGCTATAGTTCAGTGCCCAATACCTCATCTCGATATCAGAAACATTCAAAAATAAGTCCATTCCATCAAACAAGTTGCACTTGAACCTACTAAAATCCACAGTTACACGTTTTCTTTTATACCTGGTATAATACACATGGGCACATGAAACAACCCCAATTTCATCCTGCGCACCAATATAAAGAGACCAATTAAGTATTAATCTTAATATTTTATTGGGTAAATGCTTTAAAATGTAACAAGTGTTAAAACTACTACACATCGTTGCACAATCCATGTCTCACAGACCCACTGATCAGTCTTAAAGTATTTCCCCCCAGTTTTTCATCTTACTACCATACTATAAATGCCCATTTCAACAGTCAGCACACTAATAGCAATTGTAAAGTCTTAAATGTGGAAAGAGTATCTAGTCATAATATGGGGGGGTGGAGGGGTGGGGAGAAAAGTTCTTCACATATACTGTTGCGCCATTATTGAACAAAGTTATTAACAAGGAGAACACACTTTGCTGGGGCATCAGCTACACCAGGTAGCGGTGGTCCCAGTATCACTGTAGCATCAGTAGGTAAAATCATTCTGCTGGTGACAGTGTCAACTTATTTTATCTTTTAAATATATTTATATATAAAAAAACACTAAAATAACTTAGAAACTAGATCCAAAAAATTCTGAAAAGAATAGACTTCAATGTACAAAAAACAGTCATCCCCGCGCACGTTACAAAAGTCAGAAACTCAACTCTCTCGCTCTCAGTGCGATTGACCAGCGCAGTTACTGGATCTAGGTACAGAGTAAATTAAGAACCAAGAGTTCAAAACAATGGTAAAAATAACTAAACGCACCTTCGTATAAAGATTTCCTGCTGGTCTCTAAAGATGCAGATTTTAAGAAACCCTTAGGTCTGAGAGGCACACGAGAAAGAGGGGTGTGGGAGAGGGAGGAAGGGAAGGGGGAGAAAGAGAGGGAGGGAGGGGGGGGGGGCAGGGAGAGAGAGGGAGGTGCGAGGAAGGGAAAGGGGAAGAGGGAGCTTTTTCAATGCAGCCACTGAATGCATGCCTGGCCAGCCACTGTATGGCAAAGTTACCAGTGTTCAACAGTGTTCGATGAGAAGCTTGCTCGAATCAAAACTTAGAATTGAATCAATGTTACTAGCAAAAAAACCTGTTAGAAATCGTAGAAAAATAATTTTAAAAAATTGTTAAAACCTCCTGCAGCAACCTTGAAGGACCGGAAGGCAGGCTTAGTTCACAGCAGCATTAGATCATGGCTGGAGGCATCTTTGGTTCAGTCTTTGAACGTCAACACGGTGTAACCTCTATTGGACAGCAGTGTACGTCTTTTAAAAAAAAAAAAAGCATTTTCAAGAGGTGGCAAGTTAAATGTAACAGCCGCTGAAAAAACAACATCGAGTGGCTAATGCTTCAGTTTTCAAACTAATTATCTGAAAGGAAAAAAAAAAAGACTAGCATGGACACACTGTCATGCTCCTAGCTACACACAACAAGATATGTCCTGTTCCGCCAAGCCATGCAGGGAAGTATTGCTGACCTTGTCCTTTCAAGACTGCAGGGTGAGTTTTTATACATCATTATTACACTGGTAGTAAAGTTTTCTATAGCATCTGCATATATCGAGATTATTCAGATATGATCTCGGGAGTCAGCGTGACCAGTCACGTGACCTATTCAGAGTCGTTATAGCACCATGTTTCCCCCCCCCCCACCCCCGCACTAGTGGTGAGTTTAGGGTGAAGAATGAACATGTCGAGATGATACAGACATGATGTTTTGTTTTTAAAAGAGAGATTCAGTAAACTTAAGTTCCACTTTGCAGCCAACAAGGTTGTTCAGTTTGTGCTGTGTGTTTCGAGATTAAGGCAACACAAGTGAAACGCACATCATTTGCTTGTGACAACTGCTGTGGATGCACAACTTTCAAAATCCTTCATTGCATTATCACGGAAGGAGACGGGCTTCGTGCACTGAACTGGCCTTTGTTGGGAGGGAGGGAGGCTCTTCTGTAACCTTTACCTAGTCCAAAGACTAATCTCATCATTATATGCTCAATTCACTGGGGAATGCTCAGCAACAAGGTTTACATCACATTGGCATCCAACATAAAGTTGGCATATTTGAACATAGCCCTGAACCCGACCACCACCACCAAATTAATTCACAGCCCATTAATGCACACTAACATAGCCTATCGAAATCCTCAACGGAGATGTTTTCCTTTAGTTTATCAGCATGAAGTTCAGATATTAAGACAAATCATTTTAGTCTCTAAATGGTCCTCAATAACCAAGTTAGTTTTTTTACCAAAGGCAAACAAAAGTTGTCCTTGCAAGTAATTTCATTAAATGATTTTAAGGCTCAAAACACACAATTCATGTTAATAAAGATCTCAAAAAGAAATTAGATAGTTACAAGATTGGTTTGTTCCTTTAAAAAAAAGTACAGAAAATCTGTGAAAAAATAGCTTTAATTTACAATAAGGGTTCTACAAAGGAGGTGTGGCCCTTCATTCAGATTCACTTTGAGTGTGCATTAAGGGTCAAGGAATTCACTGTAAAGAGTTGGATTGAGCTGAAATAGGTTTTGAACCACCAGAGAAAAGATCGCCCTTTAACTTCTACCATACGCAAAGTCTGGCTAATTAGTAAATTGGCATCTGCAGCTTTCTATTCCCTGATGAAAGATATCTTTTTTTCTTACATATTTAATATATATTTAAAAAAAACAAGCAGATAGCAGGAGAAAATGAAAAGCTAAAAGGTTTCAGTTCCTCAATCCTAGTTTACTGCACTTGATATCAGAACACGATTATCTAAACACTAGTGGTCTATATTAACAGCCTTCCAAAATAATACATCTGTTCAGTTCATAAACAGATCTTGCCCACTCCATTATATTTTGCGTGGCTTAATTTCCTCCTGACACCATTGAGATTGCTGCACCCAGAGGAGTGCAATTGTACTGGGCTCCACCTCAGTTGCAGGTAACAGGTATGGGCATAGCCTCATCTATAGACTAAATAACAAATTCAAACCATTTAACACTCAAAAAATTACAGGTACATAATCCAGGCAAAGAAAAAAAATGGGCAATGAATCTCAGCAGCCCAGCGATTACCAAAACAAGATTAAATCAATGCTTCACCTTACAAGAGAAAACCTGTATCTGTACTGCCCTCTGGACTAAATTGAGTCGAAACTGAGCACCAACTTCGTTTTTTAAAAAGCTTAGTTCTCCTGTACTGTCAATGACGAACTAAAGCCCAGAAACTAGACATAAGTAAATTTGAGACTGTATGTCAGAGACTCTGTACACCTGGGCATCTGTACATCAGGGTTTGTCAGGGATTTCTGATCTGCCATCTCTGCAGTTCAAGCTCAATGACTTATTACCCAACTTCACAAAGCAAGCCTGAGTCCCTCAACTGCAAGCTCATACAGAATTCTATGTTCCCCAGACATGAGGAGATTTTTTCCCATGTTCAAAACCTTCTTCTCCCTCTCCACTTCTCCCTAATTTGCCTGAGAAATACAGTAGGTGGGGCAGAGACAGGGAGCTTGTCAAACACCATTTGGTTCCGTGCAGCCACACTCACCCACCATTAAACCCAACTGGCATCACTTTTCCCACCATTCCAATGGAAGGTCACCCAAATACAAGTTTTCAGTTTATAGGAAAATGTCCCCCACTTCCATAATGTGATAGTTTTCCTTTATCCCCCAACAAAGGGGGAAAAAATTACATACATACGCACATGTGCACACTCACACACGTACAAAACACACACACACACACACAGGGCGAAGCATCGTAATTTTTCATCTGACAAGTCGACCCAATAATTATTCCATTATGGAAAGTTTGGAGAGGTGTCTCAGAGATGGAGTCCGTCCTGCAGATGATTTCTGAAGGTCGCTCTTTGTCAGTATATAATACTTCAGAGTCATTTCACTTAGCCCTTTCCCCAAATATGTCAGTTTAGTTCATTCTTTGGAGGCTGCATTTTCAAAATCTCTTTGAAAAACGTGGTATCTGCTTCGCTTACACCTGCGGCTAAGTCTTTGAAAGAAAGACTTGCGATTTTCTTCATACCTGAAACGGGTATTTGTGAAAACACAAGTCAGAAAAGCAGCAACACTGCAGTGATCTGTAACGTTGAACAGCACCTGGAAATTTGTAGTTGGAACTTTGTAGTTGGAGCTCTTTGTAGTTGGAACTGAAGACTTTTTTTTTAATATAAAAAAAGTTCTTCCAGCCGTGAATGAAATGTAGATCCAACGACAGCCTAAGAATAACGTAAAAATACTATCTGAATTTGGGTACTGCATCTCAAGCTGTTTGTAACATAAGATCTCAGACAGACCTAAGGACTAGCCTAGCTATACCTGAACTCTCCTTCCCTTCATCCACAGAATGAGAATCCTCGAGAAAGCGAAACAAAAATCGTGAGATAATTTCAACAGAAAATATTTTTTTTCTGGTGAGAGAAAATAAAAGGGGTGGGGTGGGGGGTGGGAAGAGACGCCGAGAAAAACAAAACGGAAAGGAGAAAAATAAGTGTTTACGGTTGATGAGGCATGGCATACCGTTGCCACGCCGACGTCAGGCCAACAGCCATCCGTCGACACGGCAACGGAAACTATCATCATAAAATGGTACAGTAATAGAGATAACTAGACCAGGAAGGGGACTGGTCCCCTGGGAAGAGGTCCACGGAGAGATCAAGTGACTGGTCACGCAAGTCATTGTCAGGAATAATGGTTGTACGGTGGCACAGGGTGAGCAATGCCATTCTGGTAGTGATGGTGCTGCCGGTGAGCTAGATACTCGGAGTAACTCAACGTCATCTTTTCGCTACGGTACCTGCAGAGAGGGGGAGAGGGAGAGAGAGAGGGAGGGAGAGAAAGATCCATTGAACAGCTTTTCACCATGTTGAAAGCATTCAAAATTGACAATGCATAGAGGATTCCCGACTAAAAACGGACTCACTGGAAAAATTGCCACTGGCTTAAAAATAGACCCTAATCTGTGTTTTTTTTAAAAAATACAAATATGTTGTATTACTACACTCTACATCACCAGTGTGTGATCACTGAAATTACGCTGTTAAATTGACTAACTCCTGGACTCCGTTCTCTTGAAAGGAAATACCTATGAAAATAATAAGACTACAGTTCACTTCCACATGATTTTGAAACATGCAACAATTAGTTCTTTAGAGACCCAAACATTCTTTAAAAAGAAAATGACAGGCCCAATCTCATTCATTCCCCACAGCACACATCAATTGACATCTCTGCTTCATGCAACATTTGTCAACCGCGCTCAACATTGAGATGCAACAGTGCAAACTTTATACATTACAACATTTAGGGCAGGAAAAGCAATGCTCTACATTGCTGACCATCAGAATGCCATTAGATTAAATTAGATGATGAATCCATATCTATCTATACGCATGGAACAGCCAATTCCTTTATTGGTTTTTCTTAAGCTCCTCTGATGACTCATTTGATGCTTTGTTTCCTACACTCTAAAGGCACATTAATACACTATCAACTTTTACAAGGAGACAGCACCTTTTGTGTACATTTTGTTCTCGAACTGAAGTACTGGATGGACGGTAGGTGAAAGGATTTGCAGACGAGCTGCTTTGGTCAAACATTTATAGAAAAAGCGGGACAAAGAACGTTTCCTGGCAAACATATTCATCAGGGCTTCCTGCACTGAATCAGCATGTAACTCACTTTAAAATGATGCATTAAGAGCAGGCAGGCAGTGTACTTGGGTTTGATGTAATTATAGGCTCAAACAAAACAGAGGCATTATTTACTGAACTCAATTGATACTAATCACTGCTGATTTAAGTAGCTCGCACATACTCTCTCTCTACCACAAGCACAAAGGCCACCCACAAAAATTTTGTTTAACCTCGGACTTTTTGGAGCTTCTGCCCTCTGTCGTTAAAGCTATAATTTGGCCCCATTCCCGACGATAAGATTTACAATGTTGATCATTCCATTTCATGGTTGATCGTGCTTTCCAGAAAGCGTACTGTAGCCCATCACTGAGAAACACGCCAACCAAACTTGATCGGCTAAATTTACTTGTCAAGACAAGGTCACACGTGGCTTCTGATGGACGGCCATAATGTCGCATAAGGACCGGCTGATCAAGGCAAGGAGAATGTTTAGCTCTCACCCGTGGTTCAATAATTTTATTAGTCTTTACTAACTTAATGCATCCCCAGACCTGCTGACCCAAGACTCAACTACTTGGCTCTAGCTTCAGTACTAGCAAACTGGGAAGATGAACATTTTAGCAATTTAATGAGTGAAAATGTTTGAAGTCTTGAAAAGTTTTAAGCTTCTTCCCTCAGTGTTGACCGGTGAATCTCCTGGGTCACTGATTTAGCCATTAGAAGGTGCCCAACCGCAGCTCGATGGACTGAAAGCCCTACTCTCGTTCCCTTCAGTCAGTGATGTCAAGTTACATTTGATTCAAGACAAATGGAACATTTTGTGCAAAAACAATATCCAGGAAATGTTTGATCCATTTGCGGAGAAATATGGAAAAACAGGATTTCCTTTGCCAAACACGCTTTCATTTAGAAAAATGCAGCACAATTGAAAACTTCTCTAAGCGGCTGAAGCTACTGATGCAGAAGTAAAACTAGATCAGCAAATTAACACATTAGCATTTTAAAATGTATAACTCTTCCAAAGATATTTCGACTTATTGGAAAAGTTAAGTGGAAACGCATTCCCCTTTAATAGGGTTGCCCATCTGGCAAGTTGTCTTTGGAATCTATTTATCCAACACAAATGGCACTGAAAGCCATTTTTCTCTAAAGATGAGCCAAATTAAAGTTTAGATAGCTGCTGGCAGTGTAAAACTGAGAACCAGCATGGGCGAACTCATCCTGACAAATGTTGCCATTCAGCCAATAATACCCCTTTTACTACATACACAAGGCCTTACTAAATGAGATTACTGGAATTCATTCAGTAAAAACATCACATACTTAGGTGCAACATTTAAGTGTGCAACTCTAATTCACTGACACCAAAGAGCAATATCTATGAAAGCACCTAAAAATCAACACACCAGTTCAGTTTACTTTCTATTAGGTATTTTGATGCAAATGTAATCCAAGCATCAACATGAAATGGGTATTTTTTGTTAATAAAAGTACAAGCTCTTAACTTGCTGCAGTGTTTGGTCAGAGTACATGCTGATTTCTGGAATTTCTGAATAGCAAAGCAGATCAGAATAATCTCCAAGGCACATTTGAGTAGCTTAAGTCCTAACTGATATATTTACAATTTGATCTTGTGGAGATTGTGCAATTAAAACAAAATCTGGTATTGTACCTGGTCAGTTTAATGGTCTTCCTGAAGTCACTACTAATGGGAGCTTTGTAACCTCCCTTTCGTAATAAGGAATCTATGGTCTGAATGTGGTCCCAGCCTGCAGAAAAAGGGGGAGGAAGAGAAAGGGTAAAGTAGGAAGGGGTAAATTGAATATATCACACTGAACAGATAAAAGGAGCATCAGGCCAAAGGTTGCAATGCAATCGCTTTGTTCTTAAACAAGCATATCGAATGTACAATCAAGGGTGCTTAAATTCACAAAAGCAGGTACTGAGCAAGTCATTTTAAAATTGGGAATAATGTGGAGGGAAAGTTTTAATTAAAGTACGTAAAGTGCAACATTGACCTTGCTCCTTCGCAACCTCCGGCAGGTACGTGGCGGTGCGCTTTGATCCTTTTTCATTGATGAATTCTATTCTAATGCCATGTACACCCACCTGGAAGAGATCGGCAGCTTCATTAGAATATGAAGATCTGTAAGAATTAAATCTAACTGGTTTTTAGCACAAATCATCTCAGCAGTTTTAGTTAAAGCAGCTTTCCCAGGCTACTTCTCCCCACCAACCCTATACGGTTTTGCCTCGTTACCAAACCCAACTTCTGGGCCCGTGAGCAACACAACATTTCACAAGAAAAGTCAGTCAATAATGAAATTACCAAAATAGTTCAGTGCCAAACCAAATTGTTCACATTTTTTGCACATACACCAACAAACCCAATGAACTGCACCTTTAAACTGTATAAAGGTGATCCACTTAAGTGCAGTGATGTACAGGAAAATATTTTTTTGAGCAATATTGGAAGAAAAATGTTAGTAACTAACCAGTAGAGATTGGAACTGAAAAATAATAAGCCCTTTTATAAAAGGATTAAAAAACTAAAATCCACTGTGCCTGTTACTGGAAGGGTGAAATTCTATAGAAATATGGATTAGGCTTTGAAGAGTCACCACATGGCACAGAGGACACAAGGCACAATTTTCCAACCACTAACAAATGGTAGGGTCAGAAACTACAACTGGGACAAAGAAGACTGACGATTCACCTACACAAACCCACTGCAGCTTCAGCAGCCGAGCAATTTGCAGCCCCCGTACCAGTAGTAAATCAGACTAGAATTAGCTCAGTGCCACCAAGCGCTTCCTACACAATCGACTGACACAACAGTTGTTCTTGTTCCATCCAAAGCAGAAATATCTTTCGGTATTTTCCAGCCTCTCAGCCCTGTTCGGTTTGCCATGCACCAAGGTCAAGACTGAAGGTGCGGAACTACCCACTTGAACAGAAAGCTTAAGGTTTTCCCCTCGAGTCGGAAACCAGATTTGTTTAGCTAACGCAACACCTGCCCATATTACAGTCCAAGCCACCAGCCACAAACTAAACACAGCGGCATGGAATGTAAACTGTTACAAAGATCACTCATTCAAGAGCTACCAGGCCACATTCTTCAAATTCAGATGTCTAAATATTAAGGGTAAAGAGGAACCACAATCTTTAGGATGCCAGTCTTTAAGCTCTAACGACATGTGGTTGTATGGCCATTCCCATATTCTATATGGCATTCAACTTTAGCTTGTACCCACGCTTAATTTTGCTGGACATTCCCCAATTTTGGGACTATATGCTGTAATCAATTCAGCCTTTGATTTAAAAAAAAAAATCTTTGTAATCTAATTCCCTCGATATGAAGCAATTTATAGATAGTTTATGAGCACCGTTCTCGCTTGGTCTCAAAGTCTACTCGACATCCACAGTACAAATACAAACGGAGGGAGAGACACACAGAGACAGATAGAGAAAGAGAGAGAATGCGCACATAATACACAAGATGTTATTCACACACAGAAAAGGTCAAGCGGGACAGGTGCTTGTGCTCTTAAAAGACATTGAGCACCAGGTTTTATTCCCCCCAGGTGGGCTACACTGGCTTCAGCTTACTAACGAGGGCAAACAGATATCAGGTAAAAGGAAACTGATAACTTTCACTTGAAGAAATGTTGCCACGACCATAGGAGAATGCAATTCCACGATTAATTCAGGTTATTTTAATGCGAACTCCGATCAAGGTTTTCAGCGAGTTCTTCACTGTACGACTCAGTTTGTAAATGACTTACCTCCCACTCCAAATAATCTCCAACATCTTCAAAGTTGGTGAGAAGTGACACGGAGCAGAAAAGCCGCGGTAGCTCTTCCCTCGTCATTGGAGGAAAGCGGCTATCTTTAAGGGCACTGGAAAAACAGAAAGTTATTGAAAACAAAACCTGGACCACTGCAAAAAATCACCTTATAATTCACTCCCGTTAACAATATTCAGACAGAAAGCACATCTGTGGACGAGTGAGCTACCAATTTCTAGCAATTTTAGTTTCTGAACAATCCCAAGGAGGACTATTTTATAAGCATGGTTTGGTTACGATATTATTGCTAACAATTCATATCTTAAAAAAAGTCTTCCTCTAACCCCCTTTGAAAACATTCCCTCACAGTGAATTGGATCAGGCCAGCCTTCTGAGAAACTCACCCCTCGTTTAAAACGTATTCCTCAGGCTTATTTTCATTAAACCTCTCTCTCTATACACACATTTAATTTCTGCAACTTGATACATATGGGATATGGCAAATTAAATTGCCGAATTCTCTGCAAAAAAGGCCCATAGAGCAAAACAAGATCATTCTATCTATAACATTGTATATATATATATATACACACACACACACTGGACAAACATTGCTTCAATATTTTAGTATATTTTCTACAATGGCAAATGGACACGACAGAGGATTCCTGAGGCGAGCCAGTTTTCATGACATGAATGATGTAGTTTAATTGTTAAAAATAAAAGGTTGCTTGTAGGACGGCAGTTCTGACACTGGCATGGAGGTGGTTTTAACGCTGGAAGGTTAATTGCTTGATTAATCTGAAAATTATTTTGCATTTTAGCTGTCAATTTAGCCTCCAATGGTGGTGTGAGTAGAGCAAACATTTTGTGCTCGCGCATTTTGATACACACTTCGGAAGCAATAAAAATTAACAGTTTGATCCCAATAAAGCAATGACTATAATATTACCAATTTATTCTGGAACTCAGCCCACCTGGCTACAGCACCTTGTAAACATGAGCAACAAGTGATGGTTGGACACTGTCTGAGATTATGAAATACAGTATTAAAGACTTCTAAACATAGCACTCCTGATGCTTTGTGATGAGCAACAAACCCCCCTTTGATCCAGCTCCACATCTCTGAAGTGTCTTTGCCATTGACCTAAGCTTTTTAATGCTGACAATCCTACAGTTGAGCAAACTCCCAACATGGCAAGGTTTAATGTTGGGTTTACACCGTGGACCTGTCTACCAGAACCAACACAACAGGAGAAGGCAATGGCCTATTTTCAGTTCCACCACCACCTCTTTTCTTCTCTAATGTTAGCCAACGGATGGAGGGGTTTCTTCCCAACAGTAGCAGGAAAAGGATTTCACAACAAACACGAGGCGTGGAAGGGCCTAAAAGTAGTTTTTCCTCTCTAAACAGCAGTTTTCATGACAGTTGCATTTCAATTAGCAGAGATGATTTGAACCTTATAATCTCTATTTACAGTTTGAACAACAAATACACTGAACCACCTCAGGCAATTGTTCGTTTAGCCAGCCAATCTCAGGGTTTAACTTCAGCTGCTATGACCCACAAGTGAAGCGGAGATAATAGCAGGCAAGGGAAATCCCTCTTAAGGGCCCTGAACTTAATCTGCATCACTGAAATGAACACTCGTAACACTAGAGAAAACGTGGCCCATAAGTCTAAACCTAGCAAGTCTCAATTGAGTTGATTTCGAATCGACAGCTGCGTTTAGGTCACTTCAGCTGAGATAACTACATGTCATCACTACAGAGGGGAGCTGCATGGGCCAGAAACACAGTGGATTCATCTGACCTAAAGCACCTCAGTCACAGCTCTGCTGTCTTCTGAGAGTGCACTGAACTTAACCTTTAACATTTCCAGAGCCATCTTCTGATTAATGACTTTCACCTTAATACGTTTGACCGTGGTCTGTCTGATGGCTATTTTAAACAAGTGTCTCTTTTCTTGAGCAGAAGTTCAGAGAAGCTGCCAGTGTTGCTCAATGCAGGAGGGGCTGTAAAAGCCACAATGAATGAATACTAGCCTTCACTATTGCAGTGTGAAACGTTATCCGGTTTAACCAGAGATAGTAGTTTGTCTCATGCAAAAAAACAGCAAAAATTCAATATTTGCTCCCAAAGGAAGACAGCTTACAACTAGAATATTGTTTGAAGCATTTACTGTTCTACAGCTTTGCTCAGAGTAGTTTGTGTTTGCAAATTTCCTGTAATGATGCTTCTGAAGGATTTTTAATGGAACTATTCACTGCTTTTAATACCCAGTGAATGAATTTTCAGAAGGAAAAAGGTACAACTCTAGAGGAAGTGCACTCGCTCAATCGAAAAGTCACACGATCCTAGAAGTTATAAATGGAACTACACATCACCTCTTGTTCCCAGGTTTCAGGTTACAAAGTGGAAGAGGAGGCAAGGCAAAGGAGGCACTGCATAGGGCAACACAAAACATATTTTTTTTTGTATGTTTTACTGTTCTCAAGACTGTAAAAATGTACCTTTGAGTCAATGAGCAACTGGATTGAAAGCAATCATTTCATTTAAAGCATTTTCTGCATTTGCCATTTTGAACCACACTCCCACGAGTCAATGATGGAACTAGGGCAAGTGCCCAAGTTTAATTATACTCAGTAAACACACACGTCAGTTGATTTTCTGCAGACCATTAATGTGAAATGCAAACAATCTAACAAGGTTTAATTTGAGACAATAACTTGGTTTCCACTCTAAATATTATCAGATGTTTCTTGGTCATTTTACAGATGCATCAATACATCAACCATGATAAGCATCACATTGATAATTGCACCACAGTGTATTCAATAAAAGGAATATGCTGAATATACACCAGGGACAATCCATGAGTTTCTAATTTTAAACTCATCTAACAAAACAATTCTTGGAAATGCTGATCGTTTTATTGGTAATTCTCAATAAGATCTCCACAATCCAAAAGTCTAGAATTCCTGGCTCATGGCTTTTTTCTGCCCTCAACCAAAAAAAATTATATTCTTCTCTCCACATATTCAGAATAACTCAATTACAGAACTCATTCAGGATGGGAGAAAGATGTAAAGGAAAAGTGAACTGTTGGTAAATCCTGAAATGATTTACAACATCTGGCTGATGTGAAAGGCACTATATCAAATGTAAGGATTTATGACTGATTAAACACATATGATCCATTTGCCTTTGTACATACATTACTTATACAGAACTGTTAAACTTGACTCATCCTGGGAAGATAAAGGTTAAACCTCCTGCACAGGTGGCCAAGAATGTAAAGAATTATTGCATTTATTACAGCAGCGTTCACATCAAACAGCTTCAGAGTTTACTGTATGTGTGGTGACAGCCTATTTTGCAGGTGAACACAATGAAAGAGTGTTGATCTCCACACTTGTGGTTCACCCCATCAGCTTAATTAAAATAAGTTAATTAAAAAGCCAAAGGGGAGGAGACAGAATTTCAAATTGCAATGTTCTACTTGGCAAGTTGAAAAGGAAAAACTCGGTGTTTGTCAAGATAGATTCTTTCAGAAACGCAATAAGACATGACCTGGTCAAATACCAAAATGGCTGCAACTTTAATGACAAGAAACAAACAAAACAAACTTATTCCACAAGCAACAAAATGATCCAAAGCAGTGAATAAATTCAATGTCCAAATTGCCACCTTTGAATCACAGGGCAAATTAACACTAAAACTATGAACAAGACCTGGATGATCATAAAATTGAACAGTGTATTTAATGTAGAATGCTAGTTGGGCAAACACGGCAGGTAATCTGCCCATAAACAGGTCAAGTTAAACATTTGAGTAAAAAGTACAAACTGAAAAAAAAGAATTACATGTGAAGGTGTTTATACCAGACTCTAGTTTTCAGGCATTTTAGCAATTACCAGAGACGAGTCAATTAGCTCCACGTAATATCAACTACAGTGGGTCTGAATATTATAGGATAATATAAACCCGTGCCTTCAAACAAGGGAGCACTTAGTACAGAGCAAGCCACAACTCGCCTGGATTCCACGGGTCACTCATTCAGCTAATAAACTGAACACTAAACACATATTTTCACAGTTGGATTGCTACCACAAACAATGCCGCAAACAGAACCAGATCAGAATTTTTTTTGATCAAATTTAAGTTCAGAACCAGGCAGCCGGCTGACTCAGCAACAAGATAATTAGTAATTTAATTAACTCATTAAAGCTGCACTGCCTCAATCAATTCTCTAAGCATAGGATGGAGCTAAAGCAGCTTACCTGGTAATGGCTGGGGTGAGGGGGGGGGGGGAGGAGAAATCATTCAAAATGATCAGCTTTAAAAGGTTAATTTTTAGATGTGGAAGTAGAAAACTAAGCCTTGTAATACAGGCAAGACTGATCTCTGCTCTTTACTGCTAAGAAGCAACAACAACAACAAATTACATTTACACAGCATCTTTCACGCCGGGAGGATATCCCAAGGCATTGGACAGTCAGGAATTTGGATCAGGAGAGATGGAGGGCAGGGAGGGCATGGGTAGGAGGATGGCTGAAGCAATGGTCAAAGAGGATGGTCTTGAGACATGCCTTGAAGGAGACAAGGGAGAGACTGTGGGATAGAGTTCCAAAGGGTGGGGGCAGAGAGGCTGAAAGTCCGAACGCCAATGGTGAGGCTGGCTACGCGATGGACGTAGAGCAGGCGGGAGCCAGTCAGGAATGAGTGAAAAACAGATCTCAGTATAGAAACTAGTCCCATTGCTCACCCAACAACAGTAAATCGCCACCTTCAAATGTAATCACAGCAGGAGAGAGAAAAAAAGATGTTTACAGTCAAGCTGCTTCAGCCCTATCCAGAAAAATACAGGCATCAAAGCTCTTTTTTAACAAAAATAAATAAGACATTACTCAGCAATATTTTTCGCTCATGCAAGAATAGCTTTAACAGGTCAAGTGACAAGGTTGCCAAATTTGCCAATGAGCTGGTGCCCATTTCCTGGAATTAAATTGGAATTCAGCCTGTGTAAGAAAACAAGAAGATGGCAGGGGAGAGTTGGGTTTTCTGGTAACTTGTAACCTTTCAAAGATTAGACTACTGTACTATGGCTGTCCTTTGAGGGTAACTGAAGGTAGTGTATCTATAAACTGTTCTAGAATCTCAAGGGTGCTAAATGCATCTTAACCTACCCCACTCCTCATTTTTATCTGCACAAAGAGATACCTATGCTGATTTACATTTGACCGCCTGGGTCAAATTATTATTTTTAATATAATTTGTTAATGGAGTGGCTGTGAGAACATGGGGATTTTTTGGGCTTTATATATAATTCTAAGGGATGAATGTCTTGCCCGGGTGGGAGGGCACAAATTGGACAACCTGAATTATCAGTAAGCATGCTGGTGTGAGAAAGCCCCAGTGTACTTCACTGCGGGCACTTCACAATCAGCTGTCTACAAGACAGGTTAGCTTTCAACAAATGGGCAGTGCCTCACTACTGAAGAGTTAGCGTAAAAAGTTTTCTGGGATGGGAGCTCAAAAGCAGCAAATCTGATCAGGCCCCAAAGGCTAGCACACATCCTGATGTAAAGTAAGGGAGAGTTGCAGAAAGGGAGATGGGAAAGAAAACAAGAAACAAATCTGTACAACACTCCTAAGTACTCAACTTTTACTGCCAGCTCCACTCCTTAAGTGTCCTTTTACCTATAAAACATTAAATGCACAAAGCTCATCAGCAATGAGTTTTGAATAGCTACAATTTTAATTTTTCAGCCATATTGTAGGCAAGTCTATGAAAAAAGATCTAGCATTTGAAAACATTGGGAGAGATATAAAAAAAGATTTACACTGACTAAGCCAAAGACTAAATCTGGAATTAAGCAATACTGACAAGGAATGTGCATTGCATGTTTTGACCATAATAGCATTCATTTTGGAATGAGAAAGTACGAAGCCAAATCTCGGGCATGGTAAACCCAACAGGCACGTATTCTCATCTGTTACTATCATGATTATACACAGAATAGTTATAATTTAAAGTAAACTCAATGGGTGTGGAGGAAAGGATCCTGAAACAGCAGCACTGGTGCCATCAGAATGCAGACTGATATAGTTGCCCCGAGGATTTGTGGCCACTATTCATGTTGTGTGCCAGCCAGAATTGCAGTGAGAAATCAAGTGGCAATTGTTCCTACCTACTCACATGAGCAAGTGTCACCATTTCCCTGCACCGACATTATAATGGTGCCTGTCCCTGAAAATTAAACTGCACCTGCCATACGCTGGCCCTCATCTACCTGAAAGAAGTCCAAATGCTCTTGAATTTGCCTTCAGGATTTAAAGTGAATCAGCTGTGTGTGTTTATTTTACTGGTTAACAATTCCCTCAGTAATGATCCACAAGGAGTGGCTTACATTTTTTTTAGAAAAAGGGCCTTAAACATTGAAATTGGGTTCATATTCATAAATTTATTTCACTAGCACCAAATTGTTCAGGTGCTCACCCACAAAACATACAACTTGGTGGGAAGTGTGGGATCATTCAAATTGGTGCATTTTATTCAAAGATTAACCCTGTCTGATCTTGAAGACGCCTTATTGATATTGAATAATTGCCCCCGCTTCTTGAATCAGATATTTCTGAACGTAATCTGCTAGGGACAAGTTAGAAACACAAAAATTGTATGGGAGAAAAATGCTGGAGAATGGAACTAATGGATAGGTCTTTAAAAGAGCCAACACAGGCACAGCAGGGCAAAATGGCCTCCGCTTGTGTTGTCAATTTCTATGGTTAGAAAGGGCACTAAAGTGGACTCAGAACATAGCCAAATTATAGCTCACACAAAATATTTGCTGCTCTTTAGAATTACACAATTAAAAATTCACTTACTAAAACCATAAGAAAGTCAGTACGGTGCTTGCCTCATTTAGAATCCATCGGACGCAACTGCTGTATGCCTTGGGGCCCATATTATGCAAAGAATCCAATACATTTATACACACACACACACACAAATACACTTAGAGGAAAATCTCAAAATAAATCAAGACTTAAAGTTGTGGCATCTGGCTTGACCAGATGCAAAGGAATTTTAAGCCCCATGGTATGAACTTTCTACACGGCAATAAAAATGTAAAAGTCATTTGGTCAAAGAACTAGAATTTTAGAGGAATGACCTTGGTTTCAGCACTTCTTTACAGTTCGAGCTTTTTGATCCCACACAGGAAGCCTGATCAGACAGCATATAGTAGCAGAAGAAAAAGGGCACCAGTACCAAAATTCAATTAATCTGAAACTGTGATGTTGAGCCTTAAAATAACTTTAGTTACTTAAATTCCACAGCAATACAAACACAGCTTTCACAATTCTCACTTCCTCGAGCAGTTTCTTTACAACTTTGTTGCCCACCTTATTTCAATCATAAGAATTTGCTAGGTGAAAGACCAAGGTCCATCCAGTCCGCCTTCCACTATCCTGGCAGTCGCTTGACATGTCGTGTCCCAAACTATATATTGTATCCTGAAGTATTATTTTCTAACAGAAACCTATCTAATTTGCTCTTGAAAGAATCAAAACTTTCTGCTTCTACCGTCATTCACTCGCTCTTTATATAACCTCTTGCTCCTTTCATCAATCAGGTCACGACAATATCTAAGAGGAGACTTGGAACTGTTAGAGAATCTGAAAAGATCAGTGCAATGTATTCCAAGAACAAGCACATATGCTACACGTTCCACAAGTAACATGCAGCGGTGACTTAGCATAACCAGGCAGAAAATGCAATCGTGAAATACTGAAACGTGAATAGTTTTGAATTACCATTAAAAAAGTGTTGCTCCACTGTTGTCACAGTGAACAGTGCTAAGCAGAGCGGATAGTAAAAAAGATTTTAAATGTTTTTTTAAATTTCAATTTAGTTGTACATTCAAACAATGTGCAAAATACTACATTTAATTTTTTTGACACGGTCAAGTATTCATTTTTGGCACTGAATAAGATTTGAGATTTCAAACCCAGTTCCAGAATTAGACTCATAGGGCAGTTTTCAGTATTGATGTGCATAAGTACTCCGAGACTCGGAGTGAAGGGTGACATATAAATGCAATTTGTTGTTGTATTTAATGCAGCATAGAATAGATAGACCCCCGGAATACCAGCCCCAAACATTGTACAAATAACCACACATTCATTATTGTAGTAAAGTTAAGTGTACCCACAGGAAACTGACTCGATTTTCATACCCAGTGGTGAATGCCAACATAAATATTTGCTGCCTGCTTTCAAACCATTACTAGCAGCTAGGGATTACCTATCTATCCTAAACTCCAGTCTCCCTATGACTAATGCATTTGAAGAATATTTAGTGAATTCGTTTTTTAAAAAAAAAAGAAGTTCCCTTCAGATTCAATCAAGGGAAATACTTTTTCCAAATATAAGCTTGCTGTAAATCAGAAAAGAGTCAAGTGACCAATGACTCAATTTAAAATCAATTAGACGGAGTGCTTTTACAAACAGTGCTCGCAGAGTGGATATTGAGCTCAATTCAGATTTTCCAAATTTACAGTATTTAACGCAAACAAGCTTGGACAACCAGTGCAGCAAAACTAACCACTTTAATTCAGAAACTTAACACCCTCAATCACCTATCAGCCATAATTTCTGTTTTCACAACTGACATATTTCACCATAATTTCATAGATAAACTTACTACTAAAACCTGAATCTATTGGAAGCAGTTCACACTCTTCTAAATGAACTGGTCGTTTTCATAACCATTTGCAATTTACAATACACATACACACATAGCTGTGAACGCGCCTACATGAATTTTTCTGGTAGCATTTTGTAAACACTACTTGTTCTCAATGAATATTTGCCAATTGCTGAGCTAAACTAAATAGAGCTTAGAGAATAGATATTTTGGATTCTCAAATGCAAATATTAGCCACATGCACACCATAATTGAGATCAAAACATTTCAGACATCCCAATCAACAAATTCTCATCACTTTCTCACTGTTCTGGCTGTCAATGCTTGAGGAACCAACACCCAGAGTTTAAGCAGTTGTGCAACAGCAGCTTTTGTTTACGGAAGAGGGAAGGAGAACGAGGAAAGGTGAAGCAAAGAGTCTTAATCTATACCCAACCCCATAATATTGGGTGATGGGCGCATCAGCAAGTGCTGTAGATTTGCTATAATGCAAGATACCCATGGACATGTAAAAATAATCTTTGCAATTTATACAGCGCTTTTCACGTCTTCAAGATGTCTCAAAGCGCTTCACAGAATATACTGTAAAGTGAATTGACTGTATAAATGCGGTAGCCGATTGCGCACAGCAAACAATCGTGGATTGAGTGACTAAATTGTTATTTTCCCCAAAGTTCAGCAAAGATGTTTTTTCTCTACATGTACAAGTGTTCATTTCTCTGAGCCTGAAGGAACAGAAGAGAATACACAACCCTGAAGCCTCTCTGCCTCCTAAATAAAAAGCCGCCAGAACAAACCAGTCTGGGTTTCTAACCAATACAAACTACAGTCGGTGTTCAGATCCAATTCCTTTGCTTCCCAAAGCAGCAGTCACACTTCAATCTGACCACTTTCACATACAGCTTAAAATAGAAAGAGCAACTTCCCGATCAAGTCAGCAAAACCTGGACCAAATGAGCTTCCATTACATGAAGCTGTGCCTGCTTAGATGACAGTAAAATTGCACAGGACAGTCTCTGCTAACAATTCACATAGCTGCAAGTGCCACTGGAGCCACAACAGGAGCTGAAAGTGCAAGTGGAGGGGGGAAAAAGAACAGCCAAATCAAATTATGGATATCAAAGAAACCAATTTCCTACAAGCTTATAAAACAGGGGTTTGTACTCAAAATATACCACAGGTAGTCATTTTTCTGAAACATGCTATAATTTACTGTGGGAATTCCAAATGTGGTTCAGACACCTTTACTAGAGTCAACACAATATAAAAGTAGAGGATCCTTTGCCCTGGGTCACCTCCTTACAAAATAGTCGTCAGAGATTCAAACAAGCTGTCATCCACGTTAATTACTTTGTAAGCGCCTGCTTGAAGCAAGAAAGAGGCAAAACTCACCTGGTAAGAGTGTACTCCCTGAGTCCTGAATGCAGGTTCATGGCAGAAAAAGTACCTATGCATCCCCGCAACCGCTTATCACGGCCAATCTTCCACGTCACAAATAATGGGCTGGAAAATAAATTGAAGCACATGAGCACCAGGATAAACTGATTACACAAGTTCCGTTCCTGACAGAAGTCGCACTTAATCTCCACAGTGTGTCGTTGCAGAAATTTCACTGCCCGAGTGTCCTCTGATTGGAGACGAGGCCGAAAGTTTACATCACCAAGTTGTCTTGAGTAAATTGATGCTCGTATCAAGCTGGCTACTGCAATTTGACACGTTTCAGGAAGGCCAAAAAAAGTGACAGCCATGTTTGCAGTAAGTGCAGATATTTGCCCCCACAACTGAAATTGTCAAATTATACAGGATAGGAACAGGTCATGGAAATAAGCCACTCATGACAAGCTAAGACCGAATCATGTGTAATATTTTCCTGCAGTCTTTCACTTCCTTATCCTAAAAAATCAATTTTACTACGTTAGTTGCATTACTTTGACCAATTTCATTAAAGTGACTAATAGGAACGGGATGGAGTTCACACTTGAATCGCCAGTATTGTATATTAATTGCTATTTGTATAGTTGGAGGCCCAATATTTAGTAACATATCAACATGGTCCAAGATCAACTGGTCAAAATTAGCCCCTTTATATGCGAGCTCACGAGACCTGCTGACCCAAGGAATTTCCAGCACAAGACGGATCTGGTAGCCCTGCCCGCTAGTTATTCAACAGTAAGCAAGGAATCAAATACAACTAAGCAATTCAACACAATTTGCTCCACAGGTTTAAGGCCAAATGCGATATTTGCATTTCAGTTTTCATGTTCTTTCTATAAAAAGTTGCATCATAGAGAGCTCCAACCCACTGACTACACACATGACTGCTAATACACAGCTTTTCAAATCAGATGAGAAATCACCATTTCCTTAAAAAATCTTTGACAATTTGGGGGGAAAGAAAGGAAGGGAGAAAATGGGCGGTTACAAAGCAATATTGCAACTCAGTCGATGTAGAATCATCCAGATCAACTGGTTTCCAAGATGGAATCACTTGTTCACGAAACACTTACTAGAATTGACTTCCAAACTTAAAAAGGAACTTTTGTTGGAGTTTTCACAAATTTTATATTTCTGATCATTCACCACATCGCATTTCAAGCTCAGCCGTGTCACATTCTTACTTCAGAGCTCTGATGATTGCCCGTTCATTATCTGCATAGTCTAGCTCACGAGTCACTGACCACTGAAAAGATTGCATTCCCAGCCAAATTGAAAACGGTCTGAAGATCCATACAGAGATTCCGGTATGAAAGCCAGTTTTGTTAAAGCCTAAAGTATTTCGGCAACTTCCATAGGAGTTTTTTTTGTTGGGTATTTAAGGGTCTATCAGGCAGCCAAGATTGCTTATGTAAGCACTTGCACAGGAAGTTGCTTTGGCCACCCTGGGATTCTGGACCTCAGAGCTTGAGAATGCTCATGATGAGCGTGTCCAATCTGCAAATGTGGGACCCAGAACACAAATAGTGCAGGACATGTGGAAACGCTCGAGTAAACCAGAAAGAGAAAATAATCCTAGAAACAGGAAAGGAGAGAAGTAGTTATGGTTTGAAATATGTATTTAACAAAGGTTAGTACAACAAAGAAGCCATTGATGTATTTAGCGCTATACACATGTTATGTTGCTGCGGTTGGAACCCGATTTTGCATTAAACGCAATTAACATGTGCAAGATGGTGTAGTAACCTCCAGCATAAGTTTTTCTTTCTTCAGATACATACAGTTGTGTTTAGATTCAAACACAATTAATCCTTAATGTAATTAGCAACTAGCTTACTTGCTTCTCTAGCTTTGTGTCTGCAGTTGTAGTGAAGCCACCACACACAGCTAACTTTTCCAAAATGCAAACCAAAGCTGTGGATTTTACTTGCAGAAATCAAAGTGTGAATGTTTTGCTGAGCAAAAAAAAAGTCAGCAGGCATCACACCCTACTATAAAAAAAACTTCCCCTTTCTCCACCACCCATGTTTGAGCACATTTCAGACTCCTATTTCTATCAGAACAGAATTAATAATTTAGATGCTGATGTTAACTGATGACTTTGTTACACCAGAGCACTCTACAGGAGACCTTAAAAGCTAAGCTTCCTTCCAACAACATGCAATGATAAACGGTACAGCCAGGAGAAGGAGAACAAGGGTTCTCCCATATTGAGTTAGGTTCTTCCCTTCCTGTTTAGCTTATTTGGAGACAGGTCATTTAATTTGAGAATATGCCAACAGAATTGCTATTTCACCTCTGAGGCCTCCTTAAATTCATTCAAGACACGGGGATACGCGTCTATTGGCTATGTGTCATGTGAAAAGAGCTAGAAGCAGTTTTAAAACAGTTTTTATGGGTGTAAACCCTGAACGTTTCGCCCACAAATTACAGTCAATTCACTCTGAATGCTTTGAGACATCTTAAAAGACGGGATATCAAATGCAAGGATTATTATTAATAATATAATATTGCACACTCGCAGCATCCAGTGTGACTATAGAGGGCTCAGATTCCCATAAGCACTTTTGTTTTTAAAAGAAATGTGGGTTGATATACTGGTGAAGGCAACATACATCCTTGACCCAAGATCAATATAATTCACACACTTATTTTAGAATTTAAAAAAAAACATTTTTGAAGTTTCCCAACGAGGAACTCAGCAATTAACATTTAAATGGATTTCTTCCTTTTTTGTGTTTAGATTATGGTGAGACTGCCGTTTGATTTGAGAAGTTGCCAACAGAACAGAGAATGCAGTTACAAATTGTAGCTGCTACATCACGAGGGTGCCCATTGATAAAAATATCCAATGCAGAATCGAGTAGAGCTTCACAGAAGTCATTTGTCAGCATTACTTAGCATTACTTTGGAGATCATAATGTGCAAATAGATTTGGCACTCTGCCATACATTTGGAAGCACCAGCAGTTAAAAAAAAATAAATTCAATGACCTCCACCCATTCAGTTGTCAGGCAGCAGAACACAACCAGTAAGCACCAAATAACCTGGTGTAAAAATAAAATGTCCCTGGGTCAATTACCCATCTATTTAATTTAGGAAACTGCTGACCGTCTCACAACAGCCACACCCTTTTAACTGGTAGAAAATCTATTTTTCAACTCATGACTGAAGCTGCTTTTGAGCTGGCCATTGGGAGACACCTAGAGAAACTCCCAATTTTAGCTCGTCAAGGGAAGGGCTGCCCGCGCCTGTCCGCTTACAGATTAGAAACCACACTCGACAAACTTTTGAATGAAAACCACAGTTAAACTCATAAAGGAAGTGAATCGGTGTTTCCAATTGAGTCTGGTCCCATCTGCCCCTCCCCATTCCCACAACTATTATGTAACTAACAATGAGATTGAAAGGAAGCAAACTAGATATGGTGGGAAGTTCAGGAGAGCAGATTTAAGCAAGGCCTTATCTTATTTGGCTTTTCCAAAATATCTTTGGTCATAACAGGTCCAAGAATATAGCTGTCCAGTTGCGGACATTTGAGTGCTGTTTAAAAAAAACTTTTTTTCCCTGAATCAAGTCTTCACAGAATGAATAACCTATTCTGGCATCAGCTCATTCTGAAGCCATCAGTCCTACATCATGTTCGGAGAAGCTGACTCAGAGGATAGTAATTTAGACAAGGGAGTGTCTTAATGGCCGTCTGCATGACAACATCCACGTAACAGCATTACTAACCGGCAGTGCAACTCATCATGACAAGCAATTCACCAGACTGATAAATCAGCAAGGCTGTTAGTGATTATGACTGCCACAATCAGATTAGTGAAATGTTGCTATCATACCCTTTTGCAACCACATGTGGAAGCTCATTTCTTCGTATCGTCTTAATTCAGCTAACTAGTCAAGTTGTTTTAATTGCATTTTGGTCCCCAATGGCTACAACGAAGCATGCAGAGGTTTCTCACCATAAATATGAAACCCCACTTTGCACAGAAAATAGGAGCTCTACATACTTGGGGAGGACGACTCTCTTCTAAGTTACAAGGAGTAAAGTATTGCAGTCCCCCCACCCCTCCAGAGAGATGTGTGGAGCGCCTCCATAACAGCTCCACGAATACAAATGAAATTAAGCTTGAAAATGACGCATTACAAAGATTGTACTGTGGTGACTTTGATACAGGATAGCAGTATGAAGATAAAGCATGTCTTATACAATTTGCTTTTTGAATCACAGGTTTTGAAACCGAACCGCATAAAGCCTAAAGCCCATTGACATGGAATTTCTTCAAATCTTCCAGCAACAACCAGAATCACACATGGTAATGAATACTGTTACAGTACTACCCATCCTGTGTTTTGACATGCCAGATCCTGTAGCCATGTTTTGGAGAGGGGTGCTGTTTCATATAACTGGAAAAATGTCAACAGCATTTTCCTGGAAATAAATTAACTTCAAAATACTTTTGCAAAAAGAAATATTTGCCTTTGATAACAGGATGCAGCCTAAGGAAGCTACAGTAGAGAGAACAAAGAATATTCAACTGGTGGTAGCTGTGAGTAGTGGAGGACAAATCATACAGGTTACCCACTTCCTAGAGCCCAGTACATGCTCTAAACAATCTGGATTAGCATTACTTCTGCATAAAAAGGGGCAGAAGTCCCCAGAAATGGATTCCAAGTGAATTCCGCAGGCACAATGGCATTCAGTTTGTACCCAATGGAATGTTTTGCAGGAATTAATTTCACATCCTGCGGCAAACATGGAGGACAGTCTCGAGTCTTGCCGAAGGGTCGTGGACCCAAAACATTAACTCACTTTCCTTTCTCCAAAGATGCTGCCTGACCTGCTGAGTGTTCCCAGCGACTTCTGTTTTTGTTTCAGATTCCCAGCATCTGCAGAATTTTGCGTTAAGTGCTGTCAGCTTGTGTCATTATCTTCTAGTTTGTCTCCAAGAAGTGCCTGCTGGAAAATTATGACTGATAAAGCTGTTCATCAGTCATGAAAATAACCCCCCACGCCCAATTTGCTTCTGCTGTAGCTGAAAGGCAGCTGCAAACGGCAGCACATA